GTGGGGCCTAAACTCTGGGCCTGGGCACTGTCCTTCAGCTCTTCAGCTCAGGCTAGTGTTCTACCACTTGAGCCACAGCACCACTTCCAGCTTTTTCTGCTTATGTGGTGCTGAGGAATTGAACCCAAGGCCTCACGCATGCAAGGCAAGCACTCTACCACTGAGCAACCTTCCTCTACAGTGTTGGATTTGCCACACCTATGCCAAGTAAATTATGGTTAAAAACAGAGAAGAATCTTGGCCTTCAAGTTATCTCTTTTGGGCTAAGTCTCAATTCCTTTGTGTAATGATATCTTCTTATCTACCTCAAGAAACAAAGAACCTTGGAGTTCTCTTGTAATCTTCATTACTGAACCACTCACAAAGACTCATCTATGAATTCAAACCCTTCTTCTCCCCTTCTCTGTCATGTGTTTTTCTTTACCTCAGACTCCAAATGAATTGTCCCAAATAAATGAAGAACCCAAAACCATATTAAGGGTCTTACTCTATTCTCTAATGACTTACTAGGCTGCTATTTAGGTTGGCCCATGTTGTTACCTGCTCGACAGAGGGTCATAAATTCCTAAAGGGCAGAGACTCCAATCCTATGTTTCCTTTTTTTGTTTTTTGGTGTAGCCTTGGCACTGTTCCTGAGCTACACTTGAGCCATAGCTCCACTTCTAGTTTTGGGGGTGGGGTGGGGTGGATGGTTAATTGGAAATAAAAGTCTCATGGACTTTAACAGCCTCAGCTGGCTTAAAACAGCAATCCTAAGATCTCAGTCTCCTGAGCAGCCTGGATCACAAGTGTGAGCCACTGACAACCTCTCTCATGCTTCATTTTGAAGGCATTTAGCTAAGCATCCTGAACAAAGAAGAGCTCAACACGCATTTTTGATGATCATGATCTTATTCCACTTTCCATCCTGGAACAGCATCTTCTCCTGCTGTATTACCTCTCCTTACCATTCATTTGGAAACACAGGAAGAATCAAAAGACTAATCCTTCCTAGTTCCCCACTCCCAACAACCATGTGGTCATCTCCTGTTGCCCATTTTGCCACATGGGTTACCTTACTCATTCTGTCACTTAGTTGTCCTGCATATAAAGTTGACAGTTTTTACAGTTTCCTATACTCTATCCTTATCAATCTTAGAAATTCAATGCGCCTTTTCTTCAGTGTTCCCGAGAGTATTAAATGGACACCAGCGAAGTCACAAACACACCACTAGCAATTTCCCTCCCTATAACATAGAAAAATTTCTTTTTATTACTCATTATATCCTGGGCACCTGACAAGATAGTTAGATGTGTATATCAATATGTAATATAAATAAATATTAATGTGTTATGTTTATTGAGCATCTATCAATCTTCCTATCTGACCACCTCACTTCTATGCTTGTTCCTCTACAGTTATTTTCCACAGAACAATCGATGACCCTTTGAAAATTGAAGTCAGAGCATTTATTCTCAGAGTAAGTGTCTCAAATTCTGAGCATGGCCTACATTGGCTCTGGTCCTGTCTACATCTCTGAATTTATTTCTTCCTGTTAATTCCACTCCAGTCAGACAGGTCTCTCTGTTTTCCTTGCATATACAAAGTAACTGTTGTTGCCAGGTGGCTTCCCCCACAATATTCCTGTCTCTGCATTTCCAATGGAATTTTATCAGAGGACTGACCACTTTTGTTTTCTCCACTGGATTTATTGTTACCTGACAAACCTCATATTTGGTTTTAGCTTTGTTTTCTGTTGTTGTCCTCATGCTCCACACCTCACCAAACTGGTCCATGTAGTAGGCCTAGCAAGGGCTCAAAAAGGAGGAGGGATGACTGGGAGCCATTCACATGGGCTCTAAATCTGAAGTGTTGGGCTCTAAATGTAAGGTGTAGCCATCATGCTCTCTGACAGTACTGCTCTGCCTCCATGTTTTATGTCAAGTGATGGTATACCCTTGTTTCTACAGCTCTACTGCTGTTGCATGAAGCTAAGGAAAGAGAATAGTAGAAAGAGTCAGAGCAGAATCATTAGAGTATTAGCCTGAAAAGAGGCTCAGAGACAATCATTTTACAGATGAATGAACTGAGGCCCAGGGGGGAGTAGGGCCACCCAGGAAACTAGCAGCAAACTGAAACTGCAATCCAGGCCTTTCACTCCCAACCTGGGATTTTTGTATCTGTACCACGTAGTTTCTCCACAGTTCTACACCATATCTGCTCATTTATAAAATACAATCAATGACAATGATCTAAAATATGCAAAAGAAAATTATATAGAAGCAAGGGGTGAAACCCCACAAAAGTACCAGTTTCCTCATAAACAAGGTAATAGCCAGGCTGGGCTCACAACTGTAATCCTAGCTACTCAAAAGGCTGAGACCCTATCTCCAATTAACTAGAAAAAATACCAGATTGAAGTCATGGCTCAAGTGGCTGAGCACCATCTGTTAGCAAGCAAGCTAGGCAAGAGTATGAGCCCATAAGTTTAAGCCCTGGAATTGGAAACAAAACAGGCCAATAGATTCGGCTTCAGATTCACTTTTCCTATCTGTCCATCATTATGACTAATCTCTCAGTGGATACACACATACTGTATTTCTTAGATCCCTTGCATAATTAAGCAGGAGAATATGATTTAACAAACACTGAGCAGTTTTCTTCCTTCCTTTCTTTTTTTTTAATACCATTCAGGTTAACTGAGTTTGAAGACATTTGCTTACAAACACAATGACATTCAAGCATTACAAAAATTACAGAAAAGATGCCTGGCCAAAGAAAGGTGACAAAATTGTGATTGTAATTCAATCTCCAATCCTATTTAGAGTCTTTTCTGCTTCTTTTCTTCCTTGTTAGAGAGCATATTTAAGAGTCCCTCCCATTTTTTAAAAAAATATTTCTTTAAACAGCTATACAAGAAGGGTTCAATTTAACATGCCCATTTATGTCCTTTCTATTTTGTAAAACCTCTTTTTTTTTTTTTTTTGGTCGGTTGTGGGGCTTGAACTCTGGGCTTGGGCACTATCCCTCAGCTCTTCAGCTAAAGGCGAGCGCTCTAGTGCTTGAGCCACAGTGCCACTTCCGGTTTTCCAGTGGTTTATTGGAGATAAGAGTCTCACTGACTTTCCTTGCCCGGGCTGGCTTTGAACCATGATCCTCAGATCTCAGCCTCCTGAGTAGCTAGGATTACAGGTGTGAGCCACTGGCACCCATCCTGTAAAACCTCTTTTTTTCGGTCTGTATCAGTATAACTGAGCTACAATTCTGACAGTGCTGGTGAGTACCTAAGTTCTGTACTACTGTAATTAAAGATGACCCATGTGTCTTTTTCCAGACATTTTTTTTTTGGGGGGGGAGGGAGGGAGGCAAAACTGAGGTTTGGTCTCAGAAACTTATGCTGGGTAGGCAGGTGTTTTACCAATGAACCCCACATCTAGCCCTTTTTGGCACTGACTATATCTAAGATACAGTCTGCTTTTTGGCTGGCCATGTACCTGGGCCACAATTTACCTATTTTATGCTTCCCATCATGATGGGATGACAGCCACATGCCATCAGGTCAAGCTTCTTACACTGAAATGGCGTCTCATAGACTTTTCTCTCCAGGCTGGCCTAGAACCTTGATCCTCACAATTTGAGTCTTTCAAGTATCTGAGATGACACCATACTCAAATGTTGGTTGAGAAGGGGGTCTCACATGTATGCCTAGGATAGCCTTGGATGATGATCATCCTTATCTCAGCCTCTTAATTAGCTAGGATTATAGGCATGAGCCACCAGTATGTGGCTTAGGCATTTTTATTGGAATATATTAAATTTACAAAATAATTCATTTTAATTGAATTAATTAGATTAGAGCTCCTACTAATTATAAGACTTCAAATATATTACCTGTATGTCACATTTATTGAAGATGTTAATCTCTGACCTTACATATAAGAACTCAGATAGACATTTGCACAAAATAATATACCTTTAAATATAAAGAAGTATATGAATAATATGCAATTCAGAAATAGAAATACTTTGGCTTTAAATAATTTCCAGAAATAGCTATTCCCTTTATTAATACGTTGATTATATGATGAATTGTTATATTAAAGGCCAACAAGCAATGAGTATAAATAAAATTTCATACATGCATCATAAAAAAGACATATGACAGTATTTCCTACCTTTGTAAATAGTGAATGATGCTTCATATGCATTCATCCACTAATGGTATCTTTACATTTTTAAAGACTGTCAAGCTTACCTAAAATAGCCCTATTGCAAAAAAACTGGTTTTGTTATCATTCCCAGACACGTATACAAGGTACTTTAATCACAGTTATTCCCCCTCATAAGCAGTTATACCCTCCAGTTATGTTTATAATATGTCATTTGGTCATTTTATAAAAAACCTACTATAGAGTTCTAGTGGGGGTGCACTTAGCATTCTAAGATAAAGTCCATTCTAAATACAGCATGAAGAGTAAAGATAAAATTACACTACATAACCATCCCACCCCACCCTTACATTTTATATACATGTGCTATGACCATATTAGAATGAGGTGACTTTTTTCTTTTTTATACATTCAAATGAGTAGGGAGCATATCTCTGAGAATTACATATGCATTCCAACAAAGCAGCTATCACATATCATTTTTCGGGAAACCTTTTGGAACACAGGTTCTCCAGATAGTATGAAAAATGATCACTCAGGGAAAATATCTGGCATACAGATTATCAGAGATTTGGATTTAATTGGTCTTGGATTGGGCTGTATCCATAAACAGGTGATCTGTGAGAAATAGTGTTTTAGAATAATTCAGACACAGTCCATAAGCCACATGAAGACATAAAAGTAAGTAATGATTAGAGTCAAAATCTACAGAAATATATGTATGTATATATATATATATATTTATATAGCACTGAAGGTATATTCTTTCAAAATCTCTATTAGTCCTATGGGACATTTATTTAGTACAGATATACACAATAAGTGTCTATTTGCAAACAACTGCAACTTACCTCCATGAAAGAGATCCCTAAGCTCCAGACATCAGAATGGATTCCATACTGCTCCCCTGAAATTCTTTCAGGCTGTAAGAAAACAGAAGGAAGTTTGTGCATTGGAACCGTAACACCAAACATGAACTTGGTTAAGGTGAGGGAACAACATTTTCATAGCATTTTAAGGATGGCAGAACAATTCCACATTATGTGTATGTATTATGTAGATAATATATAAACTTTATATATAAAATAAACATAAAATATATGCATCCTCTGCATGCTTCCTTGTGAAGAAGACTACTATCTCTATTTCACAGATGAGGAAAAAAAGGCTCATATGTATTGAATCAATTTGGGCAAGGAATGATCTGAGAATTGACCCTGGGTCTTCTCCCTCCAAATTTAGTAGTCTTAATTGAGGAGTGACAAAGCACAAAAAAGTATACACTTTAATTAGTTTTGGAGAGACAGGACTTGAAGACTAAGGCTTAATTTGTTTTATTTTTATTGTATATACTGGTATTGGGGTTTGAATTCAGGGCCTTAGCTTTTTCTAATCAGTTTTAGGGCTCTACCACTTGAGTCATACCTCCACTTCTGGCTTTTCTGCTGGTTAAGAGGATGTAAGAGTCTCTCAGACTTTTCTGCCTGGGTTGGCTTCAAACTGTAGTCTTCAGATCTCATTCTACTATCAGGGCATCCTCTGATAAGGATCAAGAAACACTTTGAAAAGTCCAGTTGGGATGTTTGATCAAATTGTGCAGCAAACATGGAAAAGTCTGCTATATGCATACTCTACTTCAACAGGAATTATTTTATTCGGGGCAAGTGCTGCATTAGGACACCCACAGAACTGTCTGAAGTGAACGCATGAACAGATGAGTAAGAGAAAGTGAGAAACTGTTCCACAAAGGTGGAATAATTGCTCAGGGTTACAAAGCTATACATGGCAGGGCTGGATCCTAACCATATCCCCTATTTCATTCTGTCTTGTTCAACAGGTACCAGGATGCATACCTATGGAACCAGCTAGCCAGTTATGAGAATAATACCAACATCACCAATATCATCTATACCATTATTAACGAATTTCTATGTGTCAGACACTGCTTTAAAAGGTCCTTATCTCATATCTGATTCACAAGCATCCATTAGGTCCATATTATTGTCACTCCCATTTTTAACATGAAGAAAACAAGTTAAAGAGGGTTAGTTTATAGTACTACCCACTGTGAAATGCTGCATCCATAGGAAGGATACTAAGCTATCATTTAATGACCATTAGTGCCAGACACAGGGCTGAGTGCTTTGCATCCTCTCCAAGTCCCACCAATCTCACATGGTAGATGTGACTGCCTTCACATTACTGAGGTAAAAACTGAAGCCCAAGTAAGTGATCTGTCCAAGGCTGGAGCTATGGTTAATATTACTGAGCAAAGCCCAGGTTCAAGCCCAGTTACATCTAATTGCAAAACTGGAGTTCTTTCTGATGTGTCAGACTGTCCCTGCAAGTACAAGTCAGAACCAAGTACTAGTCTTGAACTGAAAATGTAGGCTTTGGGTCAGCCATCAGAGAACTGCCTGAGGTGCTCACTCTAAATAAACCACCTGAATCACAATCTCTGGGGTGGGTTTAGGGACCTTCATTGGGGAAAATAATTTATGTTGGTGGTTCTTTGCTACACAGCTCCACTCACTAGAAGTTGCCCCATCCCCTACTGCAGCAATGACCCTCTAGGTCTCCTGCCTTCTTCACTGCTTAGTGTCAGTGTTAAGCACCTTTGTTTCCTCTGCTCCTCAGACAGAATTAAAGGTACTTCACAAAAACTCTGTGCTTTTTGCTCTGTCTTGTAACTGTCTCTTTTCTGTTTCCCCATGAGGTAGAGTGTCTTGCTGAGCTCATACCCAACGCTATGGAGGACACATGGCAGTGAGCAGCTGACCAAAAGATGTTGTACATGCTTACTGCACACACAGTTTAAACACAAACTTAAGGCTGGGAAGGTGGCTCAGTGGTAGAGTGCTTGTCTTGCATGCATGAGGCCCTGGGTTCGATTCCTAAGCACCACCTAGCAGAAAAAGCCAAAAGTGGTGCTGTGGCTTAAGTGGTAAGAGTGCTAGCCTTGATCTGGAGAGCTGAGGGACAGTGCCCAGGCCCAGAGTTCATACCCCATAATCACCACCACTACCACCAACAAAAAACCCCCACAAACTTAAGTTTGCAGAGTCTTCTAAAATAACTTCCCCAAATATTACTGGCACTTGGGTGTATATAAACTTATGGGAAAGTTGTAAATCCTAAAACCCTCTCAATTCTACCTTTTTAAAAATCATTTTCTTTTATCTTATTGTAGAGATGTACAGAGGGGTTACAGATACATGAGTAAAGCAATGAGTACATTACCTGTCGGTTATTGTTACCTCTTTCCTTCCTTGTTGTTGTCCCACTATCCCTTCCCTCCTCTACCTCCCCCACTCATCCCCTCTTCTCAAACTGACCCCCTTCCCCAAAGTGGTAAAGTTCATTTCCAATATACTGTCCCGTGGGTATCCTTGTTGCATTGGGTCATTCTGTGTCCTTGTTCAGCGTTTCGTTATTCCCCTTCCCCTCCATAGATTAGACATACGTATATACAAGATGCAGGATATCAAAATCAAGTACAGTGACAACAGGGGATATGCCATACAAACAACAACAACAAAAATAAAATCACATGGTACATTTAAAATAATAACAATAAAGATAGACCTCTTTTGTCCATATTTTGGGATTCATTTCACTTAGCACCATCTTTTTTTTTTTTTTTT